TTTGAATGTCTGGTAAAATTAACCTGTGAAGCCATTTGGCCTAGGACTTTTGTTTGCTGGCATTTTTTTATTACTGATTTGATTTTATTAATAGTTATTTGTCTATTCAGATTTTGTTTCTTCCTGGTTTAGTCTTGGAAAATGATATGTTTCTATGAATTTATTTGTTTTCCCCAGTTGTCCAATGTGTTAGCATATGTTGTTCATAGTATTTTGTGATAATCCTTTGTGTTTCTATGGTGTCAGTTGTTACTTATCTTTCATTTTTTTATTTTATTTATATAGACCATCTTTTTTTTCCTCAATGATTCCAGCTAAAGGTTTATCAATTTTGTTTAACTTTTCAAAGAACCCACTCTTGATTTTATTGATTTTTTATATTGGTTTTTTTAAACTCTATTTTGTTTATTTTCTCTCTGATCTTTATTATTTCCTTCCATCTATTAACTTTGGGCTTTGTTTGATGTTCTTTTTTAATTCCTTTAGGTGTAAGGTTAGATTGTTTATTTGAGATGTTTTGTTTACTTGTTTTTTGAAATAGGCCTATATTGCTATAAATTTCCCTCTAGAACTGTTTTGTCTGTGTCCCGTAGATTGTGGGTCATTGCGTTTTCATTTTTATTTGTCTTTTGGTTTCTTCCTTGATATTGTCATTAACTTGTTCATTGTTAGTGGCATGTTATTTAGCCTCCATGTGTTTGTGCATTTTTCAGTTTTCTTTTTGTAACTAATTTTTAGCTTCATACCATCTTGATTGGATAAGATTCTTGATATGATTTTAATCTTCTTGAATTTATTGAAACTTGTTTTGTGGCCTAATTTGTGGTCTATCCTGGCAAATGTTCCATGTGCACTTAAAAAAATGTATATCCTACTGCCTTTGTGTATAAAGTCCTGAAAATATCAATTATAAGATCATCTGGTCTAATTATCATTTAAGGCCACTGCTTACTTGTTGATTTTCTATCTGGATGATCTGTCCATTTCTTGGGTTGTTAAAGTCCTCTAGTATGACTGTGTTACTGTTGCTCTCTTCTTTATGTCCATCAAGATTTGCTTTTTATATTTAGATGCTCCTATGTTGGGTGCTAGACATTTATGACAGTTTAACCTCTTGTTGGATTTATCATATATATAATAAATCCTCAGAGAGGAAAGGAGAGGGAGAGAGAGCCAGAAACATCAATGGTGAGAGAGAATCATTGACTGACTGCCTCCTGCACACCCCCCACTGGGAATTGAGCCTGCAACCCAGGCATGTGCCCTGACTGAGAACTGAACCATGATCTCCTGGTTCATAGGTCTACACTCAACCACTGAGCCATGACAGCTGGGTGAAATGTCCTTCTTTGTCTCTTCTTACAGCCCTTGTTTTAAAGTCTATTTTATCTGATATAAGTATGGCTACCTTGGCATTCTTTTCTGTTTTCATTTGCATGAAATATCTTTTTCTATCCCTTTACTTTCAGTCTGTGTGTGTCTTTTGATCTAAAGTGAGTATCTTATAGGCAGCATATGTATGGGTCTTTTTTTAATCCATTCATCCACCCTATTTTTTTATTGGAGCCTTTAGTCTATTTAAACTAATTATTGATAGTTATGTAGTTATTGCCATTTTATTAATAGTGTCTGTTTGTTTTTGTAGTTCTCTGTTTCTTTCTTATTCTCCTGCTGTCTTATATGTTGACGACTTTCTATAGTGTGGTGTTTGGGTTCCTTTCTCTTTATTTCTTCTATATCTCTTATAGATTTTTCTTTTGGGCTTACCATGTGCTTCATACATACAGGAGGCAACTGATAGATGTTTCTCTCTCACATCAATGTTTCTCTCTCTCTCTGTCTCCTTTCCTCTCTCTAAAGTCAATTTTTAAAAAAATTTAAAAACATATCCTCAGGTGAATATTTAAGAAATAAAAGGTTTTCTCTTTGTCTTTAGCCTTTGGCATTGTAATTATGATATATCTTGGTGTGATCCTCTTTGGGTTCATTTTTTTTGGACTCTCAGCACTTTCTGGACTTGTACGTGTATTTCCTTCCCCAGGTTAGGTAAGTTTCTGATCATTATTTTCTCAAATAGGTTTTCAATCCTTTGCTCTTTCTGTCTCCCTTCTCTTTCTGGTACCATTATGGGGCAAATATTGGTGTTTTTCCAGTGGCCCTTTAAACGATCCTCATTTTTTTTTAATTCTTTTTTTTTTCTGTTCTGATTGGGTGTTTTCTGCTACCTTGTCTTCCAGATTGTTCATTTGATCCTCTGCTTCATCTAATCTGATATTAATTCCCTCTAATATATTATTCATTTCAGTTATTGTATTCTTTATTTCCAACTGGCTCTTTTTTATGTTTTCTATCTCTACTTTTATCTTTCTTATCTCTTTTTAGCTGAAGTTCTCACAGTTCATCTACTCTTCCCCTAAGTTCATTGAGCTTTCTTGTAACCAGTGTTTTGAACTCTGCATCTGGTAGATTTCTTTTTTTTTTAAATATATTTTTATTGATTTTTTTACAGAGAGGGGGAGATAGAAACATCAACGATGAGAGAGAATCATCGATTGTCTGCCTCCTGCACGCCCCCCACTGGGAATTGAACCCGCAACCCAGGCATGTGCCCTTGACCAGAATCGAACCTGGAACCCTTCAGTCCGCAGTCCAACACTCTATCCACTGAGCCAAGCCAGTCAGGGCAGATTTCTTATCTTCATTCTATTTAGTTCCTTTCCTGGAATTTTGTCCTGGTTTGTTTGTTTGTTTGTTTGTTTCCATTTGAAACATGTTTCTTTGTCCCTTCATTTTGGCAGGCTCCCTGTGTTTTTTTCCATGTATTAGGTAGATATGCTATGTCTCTGATCTTAGCAGAGTGGCCTTATGTAGTAGGTGTCCTGTGGGGTCCAGTGGTACAGTCTTTCTGGTCACCAGAGCTGGGTGCTTCAGGAGTGTCCCTTGTTGTAGTTGAGTCTTGATTACTGTCGGCATGTCAGTAGGCAGGCGTGACCGTCAGGCTAACTGTGAGGACTGGCCATGACTACAGTAGCAGAGTTGTGCAGAGGGCTGGCCCCGCAGAGCAGGAGTTGCTTTAGCGGGTTCTAGTGCCATCTGAGTCTGCCCCTCTTTGTGGTGCTCTGGTGTGGTCTGAAGCTGGCCACTAGATGTGCTGGTTCTGGAGCCTCTTATAAGGAGCTCCCATGCAGGTCAAGATTAGCCACCATTTGTCCCCAGCTTGGGGCCATCTGGTGGGAGCTACAGAGAAATCTATGGTTGGTTCCCATTTGTGCTGGTCTTGGAGGCACTTGGAAGAGGCTATTCTGTGAACAGAGTCTGGTTGCCACTAGTGCTGGGCTGGTCCCTTTGCTGGGCACCATGCTGAGACCTGAGGCCAGCTTCCACTTGTGCTGGATTTGTGGCCATTCAACTGAGGCAGTGTTCCAAGCCACGCCTGGATGCTGCTTATGCCCTGCGTGGGGCGACCTAATGGGAGCTACAATGCAAGTTGAGAGCACCTGCCACTTGGGCTGGGCTTGGAGTCACTTAGCAAGAGTCATAGAGCACACCAGGGCCAGCTGCTGCTTGTTTGGGTTTTGTGGGCCTTTGAGAAATTTCAGGGAAGTCCACAGCGCAAGCTGAGGCAAGCTGTTTGTGAGGAAAAGCCACTGGAAGAGGCTTAGAAGAGCAGGTCATTTGGGTGAGGCCAAGGCTCAGGGAATCTCCAGGGTGCCCACCTGTACCTGCTGGCTGGGTGTCGGGGGAGAGCTCAACAAAACCCCTGCCCCTCCAGCCCTCAACCTGAAGCTAGTCAATTTACTGTCCTCCTGTGTGTCCCTGGTGCTTTCAAACTGCTGCCCACACGCTGGAGCTCAGAGAAAGTGTGTTTGTGAGTGAGTGAGTCTGTGAGGTCCCTTTAAGACCTGCAGCGCCTGGGTCTCCAACAGCCCTCCACCTCAGTTGGATGCAATCCCTGCTGGTTTTTACAGCCAGATATTATGGGGACTCCTCTTCCTGGCCCCGGAGGCCTGGTCTGGGGGCCTGGTGTGAGACTGGGACCTCTCGTTCCTCAGGGGTGAATTCTGCAGATGAGATCCCTCCCAATTCTTAATCACCGCACTGTAGTATGGGACCTGCCGTTCCATGTCTCCGCTGCTGCCCCTCCTCACCGTCTCCATGTGGCTTCTTCTTTTTTATTATATTTTTAATCCTCTCCCAAGGACATGCTTTTATCAATTTTTTTTTTGAGAGAGAGAGAGAAACATTGATGTGAGAGTGAAACATCGATCAATCGGTTGCCTCCCACACGGGCCCAGCCGGTGATTGGACCTGGGTGTGTGCCCTGACCAGGAACTGAGCCCGCCGCCTTTTGGTGTACAGGACGACGCTCCAACCAACTGAGCCTCACCAGCCAGGGCTGCGGATTTTTTATATCCTTGGTTTGGCTGGTCTTCAGGTGGCTCACAATGGTAGGTGTTGCATAATTCAGTTGTGATTTTGACATGGTTGTGGGAGAAGGCAAGTACACATCTACCCATTTCACCATCTTGACCAGAAATCTCATGCCTCTTATTTCACTGCTTAACTGCAGCACCTGGAACAGTGAGTGGCATACAGTAGGTACTCAATAAATAGTTGCTGAGTGAGTAAATGAATGAACCATTGAACAAATGGAAGGATGGATATGTGGACCCATGGGTGGGTGTGTGGGCGCATGGACAGATGCATGGGACAGATGTATGGGTGGATGAAGAAACCTGGGGAAATAGAGAACGTAGGACCCCAGAGATGTAGCAGAAACTAACCAGGCAGGCAAGCTGTGCACCTGCCTCAGGGAGGTAACCTTGGGATGTTGCTGCTGAGGCGCTCCATCCCGTGTCCCTCTGAAGCCAAGTGTGGTCACGCCCTGGAGCCCTAAGCTCCCATGTCCCGGCCACAGGGCAGCTGGGGTGCCAGGGTGGGGCAAGGACTGAAACAGGCTTGCATCCTGCTCACTCACTTGGTGTGCTCTTGGCTTGCAGCCCGCTCCAAAAGCCTGGTGATGGGGGAGCCGAGCCGGAGCCCAGGGCAGCCCCCTGGCCCACGCGGGTGCAGCCCCGTGCTGAAGGCGGGCTGGCTGAAGAAGCAGAGGAGCATCATGAAGAACTGGCAGCAGCGCTGGTTTGTGCTGCGCGGGGACCAGCTTTTCTACTACAAGGACAAAGACGAGGCCAAGCCCCAGGTGAGTGGCGCATGCTCCATGTCTGGCACAGACCGCGGTGGGGCTCCTGGGAGGGTTGACCACGCCCAGGAGAGGGGGAGGCAGCGACCCTCCTGTCGGGACCTGCACCCCGCCAGCCCCAAACCCCCCACTTTCGCTCAGAGTGACACTCCAGCAGGACTCCCGGGTGTTCATCCCCAGCCCCGCGCTCCGGGCGCCACGGCCGTTTCACTGAGACCGCCAGCTTCAGTGTCCTGCCCTTGCTGACAGCAGCGTGCACAGCTGCAGGAGCAAGTCCTGTCTGCTCTTCTTGACTTTGTGTTTCCAAGGAGACACAGGCGCCCACATTTTACCACTTGTGATGTCCAGGGAAATGGGCACCCACCCCAACCTGCCCTCCACCTGAGAGGCAGCTCCGGGAAAGCCTCTGTTCATGCCCCTGCCAGGCAGTGGCACTTGTGTTTTCCGCCAGAACCGTAAGACCCACCCGGGCCAGCAGTGCCTTTCCCCAGTGGCGCTCATTCACTCCTCAGAGCAACTCTACGCTCTCCCGCCGGGCAGTCCAGTTGTTGGATGGCAGGCACGCAGGTCACAGTGAAGGGCTGCCATCCAAGGCCGCCAGGCCTCCAGGGCTCACCATCTAGTCCTCATTATGGGACCCAGAGAGAGAATGGACATCTGGGGAGACCCTGATTTCTCTGGGGTGAATGGGGAAGAGAATGTAAGGGACTCATCCCAAAGGATGCCCCTAGTCAGGGCTCCAGGCTGGAAAGGAAAGGGAGATCCTATATGGGACTGAGAGTCAGAGCCTTGGTGGCGGGAGCCTGCAGGCCTCAGCAGCTCGCACTGTGTGGGTGGGTCTGGGAGGCAGGGGGTGCTCAGTGATGGGCAGGTGGGAGGAGGCACCTGGGCGCAGCCTCCTTCACCCTCTCCAGTACACCAGCCAGCGGGGAAGTGCGACTTGGGCTAGCAGGCCTTTAACACGTCCCCAACCCTCGAGGTTCTCCCTTGAAAAGTTGGGGGTGGGGCAGCAGGCCTGTCTCAGAGCCTCCGGTGCAGTGACTAGCTGCTCCTTAATCTTTGTTAATCTTTGCTGTCTTCACTGTGTATTCTAATGGTTAACTTCTGTTTATGGAAAGGAATGCTGGTTTCCATTCATGAGAGTGACAGCATGCTTGTCTTTTTTAATATATCCAACTGAAAATTAAAATGTGTTGCACATCAATGTGAATATAGTTAATGCGCTGAACTATACACTTAACATGGTTAAAATGGTAAATTATGTCATGTGCGCTTTGTCACAATAAAAAGTGAGATAGCTTAAGGAAAATTTTTACAAAAATTATAGTAGAGATAAGAGGTGGGTATGACAAAAATCATGAAGGCAGATCTGAACTAAGTTTAGGGAACCCTGGTCCTGTGTAGCCTCTTTGTTCAGTAGGGAATGAAAACAAGTCCCAGAGAGGCTGATAGAACGAATAGGACTTTATAGTCAGAGAGGCCTGGCTGGTTTTGCTCAGTGGATAGAGCTTTGGCCTGCAGACTGAAGGGTCCCAGGTTTGATTCCTGTCAAGGGCACATGCGGACTCAATCCCCCAGTAGGGGGTGTGCAGGAGGCAGCCAGTCAATGACTCTCTCATCATTGATGTTTCTATCTCTCTCTCTCTCCCTTCCTCTCTGAAATCAATAAAAAAATATATTTTTTTTTAAAAAGTCAGAGAGATCTGAATTTGTATGACTTGGGACAAATCACTTAATTTCTTTTTACTTTGGTTTTATTATTGCTAAAGTGGAGACATCATTACCATTGTCACAGAGATCACTAAGGATTATACTGTAAACACTAGAGGCATGGTGCACAAAATTCATGCACGGAGGGGGGTGTCCCTCAGCCCAGCCTGTACCCTCTTGCAATCCTGGACCCCTCGGGTAGGGTCCCTAGGCCTGGCCAGCAACAGGGCCTATCGGGGCTTTCCTTCTCACAGCTACCGGCAGCTGGCCCCGCCCCCGCCCCCGCCCCCGCTT